AGAGTGAATTAAGATGGATTTCAGTTGAGTGATTGGAGGCAACTGGTTGTAGGCAAGATAAATCACTCCTGGATCTCAGAGTGATTTTGAACACCAGTTTTCCAGCATGATATAGTCCTAAAATCACTCACTATCTCTCTTTTGCACCTAATGTTCTATGTTAGGTCTAAGCCCAAGCAGCCACTGTGGCATTGGCGCCTATGCATGTGACTTGTTTACTCTTCACTGTGAGATTCAGAGACAGGCCCATAAAGGCACCACAGCTCTGAAAGGGCTGGTCCCACAAACACATCTCATGCACTTTCAGACTCCACTGAATTCAGTTGGAATTCTCTTCAAAAACGCGTCAGGAGGAAGAAACGATTCTCCAATTTTGCGCACAAGGGGTTACAGCATGCACGCAGGAATTGCCTTCTTCAGCCTGTTTGGGTTCAAACCCTCCCCTCCTGTTCCTCATTCTTCCCCCGAAGCCTGGTGACTGTGCAGGGAGAGATGAGAGATTCCCACAGTCAACAGGAGAATAAACAAAAACAACCCCTTTGGCTCGGCCAGCACTGGAAGCAGGGCTGAGATCCCAGGGCTCTCATTCCTGCAGTTTTGGAAAGTTCCTTCCAAGCTCTTTTATTTCTTACAAGGGTGCAATCCTGCATGCCTGTCTGAGATGAAACTTCTGTCTCCTGCAAATATTCCCCTGGAGTTCTGTTTTAATAAAACTGCAGTGGCACTACCTGAAGTGGAAGAAGTTGTACTGCATACAGAAAAGGTTATATATATATTAAAAAATATGATGCCCTTTATGATGATGTTCATGGAGCTCAGGAGGGACTAAGTAGTTCCCATCTCAGTTTGTCAGACTTTATAAGCAATAGATTTGTCTGCTGAAGTAGAGAGAATAATAAAAACAAGATCAGGCCTACACTCTTCAGTCATATTAGAAAAATACCATAAAACAACCTAAATGAGAAATATCTATAGCTGTGACGGACACAATGTTAATGCAATAGCTTTTACACTAATTAGCATCCTTAAATTTCTTATAGACTGCACTCCTTTTTATCTATGCCCAGCACTGAGGCTGCCTTTCTAAGACAGGGTGATCCATCTCCAGTCTGTATCTACAGATTTGTTGCATGCACATGAACAGCCGTTGAGATACTTAATGGATTATTGCATAAAGCACATAATAAATGACTGGCCATATGATGCTCACTATTAAAGAGCATGATTTAAATATATGCCAAGAAATTAACTTCAGCCAGTTCTTAAAAACCTTGCT